CCACACTGGATATTTAAGTAGGTTGCTTTCATTTTTGAGAAGCTTATAGCACACTAAATATAGGTTTACATATAATACGTTAGTCAATAGATATCAATTCCAATGTAGTTCCGGTTTAGTGCGTTCATTTGTTAAACATTTACACACAGGATATTTTATCTTTACATATCGTAGGAATTGAACGAAAGTTGAAAATTTTACAGCTATAAATGATGAACTGACGTACATATTTTCTTTTATAGTAAACTATGGCATCGAAACTGATAAATGTCAAATCAAGACAATTAACGGATGAAGAAAACGAAATCATCTTTAACGGCCTTGGAAACAGATGTCAGGTAATTTTTTACATTCATATATTTACATTCATGTATATACATAGTTTTCTTCAACCATGCTAATTACGCAAAAAATATTTGTTTGTAAAAGTATCAAAGGAGGACAATTCAAACAAAATTCAAAAGATATAAAACCAAAATGGTGATTGTCCCCGAGTCTGTTGATGTGCGATGCCGTCGACCTCTTTCATTTTTGATAATTTGAAGAGAAAGCGAAACTGAAATAAGAATAGCTTACCCTGAATTATGGAACATGTGATCAATGTTATTTCTATCTTGTGACATGTTAACATGTGCAATTCACATCATGTCTTGTCAAAAGACCATACTGACTTTTTCAAACAGCATGTTAACTTGTCAAATTATTATAATTATTATTATATTAATGGCGGCGTGGCCGAGTGGTTAAAGGTGCAATAGCCTTAAATAATAAATTGTGAAATTATTTGTTTAATCAACTGATACATTTAAATTTGAAACCAAGCAATAAATGATATATAAATATACACGGTATTAAAAATTGATAATCGATTTTTATGCGATTTTTGGCCGATTTGAGTGAAAAGCGTTTAAACGGTTTTCATTAAATATTATAGGGCCAATTTTCACAATAAAATTGATTATTTCTGGGAAACGAAGTGTGTGTAAATGATTTGAAATTTTGTACATGAGTTATTGGTCTAGACATAACATCTAGTTATACAAAAATCTTGAAAAAATACTTTCGGTCCCTTCACGTCAAAAAACCTCAGTGGAGTCCCTTTAACGCGTCAGACTATCTAAGGATTGCTGACCGCGTGGGTTCAAACCCTGTCAGGGGCAAGCCGTTGTTTCCTTGAGCAAGAAACTTTACATTCATTGCTTAGTACTGGTTGGTTCCAGGAACGGATTCGAGAGTGTTACATTCCAACACAATCGAACTAAAATAAATTTGTATGAACTAAATTATTATGATGACATGTGCAAACAACATGGTTACATGTCAAAGTATCGTGAAGACTTATGAAAACACAACGTTAACTTATTAAAGATCAGTGATGAACATGTGTAAAGATGTACTTTTTAAAACCTTGTAAAAATTGAATTGAATGACATGGTGTGCAAACGCAGATTGTTCAAATTTATGGTTCGAATTATCGTTATGACATGTGCATGATACTTTGACAAGTTAACATGTTGTTTGCACAAGTATTGTTCTTACCAAGCTTGTGGCTTGTTGTTCGTAACTTCATACCAAGTATGTGCCATGACTTTTTCATACCATGTTCTTCATATTATTAATGTGCTGTGTTGAAATACCAAGTACGCGCCTTGTTCTTTATACCAAGAAATTTGTCTTGTTCATACCAAACCTAGGATGCAGGCAAACATCGATTCTGCAATTTTTATGCAAAAAATAGGTAACTGTCTTGTTGACAATTGTCTCACGGCTGACATGAAGCACTTCCGTTTCCTAGACATTTTGCCTACAAATGCCTGATCTACAAATATCTGATAAATGCTCTCATGGTCTCAGTACAGTAAAGTACAGTACTGTCCAATACAATACAGTGCAATACATTGCAATACAATGCAATGCAGTACAGGACAGTGTAATACAGTGTAGTACAGTACAGTGTCATACAGTACAGTGCAGTACAGTGCAATACAGTACAGTGCTATGCAGTGCAGTACAGTGCAGTGCAGTACAGTACAATGCAGTTCACAACAGTATAGTGCAGTGCAGTAAGTAGGTAAAGTTCTGCGTAGTTCAGTAAAAGCAGTACAAAATATAAAAAAATAAAATACAATGCAAATATAGCAATTTGCCACAACGATTTTTTTACTATGTTCAAATTTTCTCTTTTAAAATATTTATAATTGCTATAAAGTCATTTTGTAAGTGTAAAATAGATATGTTTTGAATTCACACATCTACTTTGTGTGAATTCAAAATTTAAAATTTGAATTTAAAACCCTACACACTATATAAGTGGTCACAATATGAATAAACACGTACAATGTCATTAAAAAACTGTTCACTTGACCACAAAGTGGTCAAGGTAATGTTACATAGTGATGGGCTATGTCCGGCGTCCGTCGTCGTGCATCGTCAACAATTGGGTTGTTAACAGTCTATCAGTCACAGTTTAAATTGGATCAGACTTTGTCAGAATGTTTATCTCAATTAAATACAGTTTAAGTTCAAAGATGGGTCATCTCGGATCAAAAACTAGGTCACAGGAGCTAAAATATAAAAAAATCTAACACTCTAGTGGCTGCAGTTTTGATCCAAATATTCTGAAAGTTTGTCAGGAAAGAGTTGTTTGGTCTTTGAAAAGGGGCATCTCCGGTCAAAAACTAGGGACATTAGTTAAAATTTAAAAAAGCTTGTTTTTCACTCTAATGGTCAGTTTTATTAAATATTTGGAAAAGGGGCAGGGAAAGGGTTTTTTGTGAGTTGAATGTTAAAACCCTCAAAAAAACCCTTCCCGACCGATTTCCAGAATATTTGGATCAAAACTGCAGCCACTAGAGTGTAAACAAGCTTTTTCAACAAAAATTTTCTATTTTTAACTTCTGTGACCTAGTTTTAGGCCGGAGATGACCCTTATTCAAACTTGACTTAGAACTAAGTCAAGTTTGAACTAAGTCAAGTTTGAATAAGGGTCATCTCCGGCCTAAAACTAGGTCACAGAAGTTAAAAATAGAAATTTTTTGTAACTCTTTTGGCTTCAGTTTTGATCAAAATATTCTGGACATTTGTCAGGAAGGTTAAAATTGTTTTGATGATTCCTTGGTCAAGTTCGAAGATGGGTCGTCTCCAGTCAAAAACAAGGTCACAGGAGCTAAAAATAGAAAAAAACTTGTTAACACTCTAGTGGCTGGAGTTTTGATCCAAATTTCCTTGTAATCTGTCAGGTAGGTTGCTTTGATGATTTATGGAACAAGTTCGAAGATGGGTCACCTTTTGTCAAAAACTAGGTTACAGGAGCTAAAAATAGAAAAAGCTTGTTAACACCTAGTGGCTGCGGTTTTATCCAAATATTCTGGAAATTTGCAATGAAGGTTGTTTTGATGATTTCTGGATCAAGTTCCAAGATTGGTCATCTCCGGTCAAAAACTAGGTCACAGGAACTTGATATAGCACTCTAGTGGCTGCATTTTTTATCAAAATTTCCTGGAAATCGGTCAGGAAGGTTATTTTAATATTTTATAGGTCAAATTCGAATATGGGTAATATCCGGTCAAAAACTAGGTCACAGGATCTAATAATAGAAAATTTTTGTTAACACTCTAGTGGCTGCAGTTTTGATCCAAATATCCTGAATATTGGTCAGAAACGTTTTTTGATGATTTCTAGGTCAAATTCGAAGATGGGTCATCTCCGGTCAAAAACTAGTTCACCGGAGCTAAAAAAAACAAACTTTTTAATACTCTAGTGGTGCAGTTTTGATCCAAATTTCGTGGAAATCGGTCGGCTAGGTTGATTTGATGATTTCTAGGTCAAGTTGCAATATCGGTCATCTCCGGTGCTGGAGCAAAAAAGAGAAAAATATTGTTAACATTCTAGTGGCTGCAGTTTTGATCCAAATATTCTGGAAATTTGTCAGGAAGATTGTTTTGATGACTTCTAGGTCAATTTCAAGATGGGTCATCTCTGGTCAAAAACTAGGTCACAGGAGCTAAAACTAGAAAAAAGCTTGTTAAAACTCTAGTGGCTGGAGTTTTGATCCAAATGTCCTGAATATTGGCCAGGAACGTAGTTTTGATGACTTCTAGTAAGGGTGGTATCCGGTCAAAAAATAGGTCACAGGGGCTAAAAAAAGAAAAGTCGTGTAAACACTCTAGTGGCTGCAGTTTGGATCCAAATACCATGGAAATTGATCAGAAAGGTCGATTTGATGATTTCTAGGTCAAGTTTGATTATGGATCACCTAGGGCCAAAACCAGATCACGCTGCCCAAATATGGAAAAACCTTGTTAATACTCTGATGGTAATATTTTGACTCAATTGTCCTCAGACTTGGTCAGGGTGCTTGTTTAGTTTATTGCTTGGAGGAGTTCGAATATGGGTATCTCTGATGAAAAACAAGGTCACAGGAGCTAAAAATAGAAAATCTTGTGAACTCTCTAGTGGCTACTGTTGTTATTTAAATGTCCTTGAAATTTGTCTGCAAGTTTAAGTCAAGTTTGAATATGGGTCACCTGTGGTCAAAAGCTAGGTCACACTGTCCAAATATGGAAAAAAACTTTTTAACACAATAGAGGTCACATTTTTGACTCCCCTTTTCCAAAACAAAAATTTTGGGCTGGATTTCCCTTTTCTAAGACAAATTTCTTGGGTTTTTGGTTTTATTTGGGGGGAGGGGGAGGGGATCTAATGGGCATCATGGCCCCCTTGTTTTTAAAAAAATAACCCATTTTATTTGACCTGTTTAAGGAATGCAAACTTTCCATACATAATATTATTTTATATTCAAATAAAAAAACATTTTAAATAAAAATTACAGAGATTTTAATAAAATTTCTTTTATTTTAAATATTTTAAAAGGGTTTTAAGGGTTTTAAAATTAACAAAACTTTTACGTTTTGCTAATAGCTTTAAGGGTTTTTTTTTTTTTTTAAAGGGGAAAGAAACTTTGTATATGCAGACAAATTTTCCACCAAATAAAACCGAACTACATGTGGTAAGAGTGACGAAAGAAATAAATGGGAAAAACAGACTTCCGGTGTCGTCTGCTTTGTTAAAGACTGGAACAAGCGTTCATTCTTTATCCGCTTTTATGACGAAAAGGTTTGCTAAACAAAATTATGATCAAATCGTTTAATTCCAAAATTGAAATTGCCTTTTATATGAATATACAATAAAAATAATACTGATATAAACTTAGACCTAAATGTAGTATGAAAAAGGCAAGTACTTTTCATATTAATCAGAAGTAACAAAATTCACATGTTTATGAGCAATGTCGATACAAATCATTTGATTTTTTTATATACAGACGACAAATGTTTGTGATGATGTGTAAAGTTTGTACATTTAATTATTATGCTAATATATGCACAGGGGCTAAAAAAAGAAAAGGAAAAAACATTGGTATGGGAAGTTGATATAAAACAAACTCGAGGCTTGCAAATTACCACAAATGACAACATTCTTACCATTACAGCTGCTGTAAGTGCTTTAATCGACAACCATATTTCATATTTCTAAGCTAAATACTTATACTAGTTATTTACTGCAGATGTGAAAAGGAAAAATAACTGGATAATTTTTTGTCAATTTCATTTTATTTCTATTGCTTCTACCCTCTTATTTCCTTCAGCACCAGATTGTTTGAATTTACTTGTATTAAGCCAACTTGTGCCTCAATATATGACATCTCGAGGAGAATTTCTATATGCAAACTGTTTACAATTCTCTGAAAAGATTTAGAAATAAGTTGTAAAGTAAAATACTAAAGTATAAAATGTTACATGTTTTTTTTTTTTTTGCTTTTTTAACTGAGAAATACAAAACAATTTATCACTTCACATTAAAAATATGAAAAAAGAAAGAAAACAATATATTGAATAGTCAAAACCGCCTTTGTCGTCCATGTAGTCCACTAATACTACAAACTATTTTAACTCTTATTCTATGTTTTAGGGTAACAAAATTGTTTTTCTTGATAACCATGAGGGTGACAACTTTAAAAAGGTGTTGATGGAAAAACTCAAAGGTAAGTTAATCTCATTACGAGTTCACCTTGAAAATATTGAGTTTCTATTTGTTTCATTGTGCATTTATTGTAAATATTGAGTTTCATTTTGCTTCATTGTGCATTTATTGTAAATATTGAGTTCTATTTGTTTCATTGTGCATTTATTGTAAATATTGAGTTTCTTTTTGCTTCATTGTGCATTAATTGTAAATATTGAGGAGTTCTATTTGTTTCATTGTGCATTTATTGTAAATATTGAGGAGTTCTATTTGTTTCATTGTGCATTTATTGTAAATATTGAGTTCTATTTGTTTCATTGTGCATTTATTGTTAATATTGAGTTCTATTTGTTTCATTGTGCATTTATTGTAAATATTGAGTTTCTTTTTGCTTCATTGTGCATTTATTGTAAATATTGAGGAGTTCTATTTGTTTCATTGTGCATTTATTGTAAATATTGAGTTCTATTTGTTTCATTGTGCATTTATTGTAAATATTGAGTTCTATTTGTTTCATTGTGCATTTATTGTAAATATTGAGTTTCTATTTGTTTCATTGTGCATTTATTGTAAATATTGAGTTTGTATTTGTTTCATTGTGCGTTTATTGTAAATATTGAGTTTCTTTTTGTTTCATTGTGCATTTATTGTAGATATTGAGTTCAATCTGTTTCATTGTGCATTTATTGTAAATATTGAGTTCTATTTGTTTCATTGTGCATTTATTGTAAATATTGAGTTCTATTTGTTTCATTGTGCATTTATTGTAAATATTGAGTTCTATTTGTTTCATTTTGCTTTTATTGTAAATATTGAGTTCTATTTGTTTCATTGTTCATTTACACCTTCTCATACATTGTGCCCCCACTTTAGTGGCGGGCATTTAGATTTACCCTTGTCCGTCCTTCCGTCCGTCCGTCCATTCACTTTTGTGTCGCACATAACTCAAAAAGTATTTGACCTAGAGTCATGAAACTTTACAGGAATGTTGATCAGCACGTGTAGTTGTGCACCTGTATAATTTCGTCTGGATATTCTTAGTATTTTTAGAGTTATTGTCCTTGAATTAGTAAAATTTTGCAATTTTCAACATGTGTCGCATGTAACTCAAAAAGTATTTGACCTAGAGTCATGAAATTTTACAGGAATGTTGATCAGCATGTTTAGTTGTGCACCTGGGTATTTCGTCTGGATATTTTTAGTATTTTTAGAGTAATTGCCCTTGACTTAGTAAAATTTTGCAATTTTTAACTTATGTCGCATGTAACTCAAAAAGGATTTGACATAGAGTCATGAAACTTTACAGGAATGTTGATCAGCATGTGTTGTTGTGCACCTGGGTATTTTCGTCTGAATATTTTTAGTATTTTTAGAGTTATTGCCAATATGTGTCGCATGTAACTCAAATAGGATTTGACATAGTCATTAACCTTACGGGAAAGTTGCTCAGCATATTAAGTTTTGCACCTGGGGTTTCGCTTGTGGATTTATCCAGTATTTGTAGAGTTATTTCCCTTGACTTAGTAAAAACTGTTTTATTATGCTGTTATTTGTTCCTTGAGTGTTTGAGTTGGAATCAACCAACTTTACAGGAATAATGATCAACATCACTAAAATACAGGAATAATGATTCTCATCACTGTGAAGCTATGCACCTGGGACTTTGCATGTAGATTTTTTTTCAGTTTTGTTAGAGCTGTTGCCCTTGACTTACAGTAGTATAAATTTGCAATTTTCAACTTGTTCATGTATAGCTCAAAAAGTATTTCACTTGTAGGCCTGAAAGTTTACAAGAATGTTGGTCAGCATGTGTACTTATGCACCTTGGGGTTTGCTTTTGGATTTATTCAGAATTTGTAAAGTTCTTGCCCTTTACTTAGTATACGATTTTTAGTTTTCAAAAAATATTTGACCTAGAGTTATAAGATTGACAGAACAGTGGCGGGGTGGGGGCACCCGTGTTCTATGGACACATTTCTAGTTTATTGATGTGACTGATGCTCACTTTGAAAGAAACTTCTTAGGTCAAGAAAACTTTAAAAATGTGTTTTTTAATTAATATACAATATAAGACTGCTTATCATTCAAACCTGACATAATAAAAAATGTTTTAAAATGTTTTCAGTGTGTTGCCATTCTACTGTTATTATAATGATGTACTGATAAAGACTATTTTATCTACTTACAGTCAGACGAAATCGTCGGAATATAATTCGTACCAGTGTTGGGACAGGTAAATCTCAATGTCCCACTTTAATTAACATGTTTTCAATCTTTTCATAGATATTCGATAACGCTTTCTTGTTGTAGTTAATCAACTTACAATCATCATAAAGTTGTTAGCAGTTTCAAATTTAACACATTTCTCGAGATGTTCACTGTGTTTAACAGTGTTTTTTTAACTTTGTTTTTTAAGAGTTGATAGACTGAAAATAAGTAAACTTTCTATTATATATTATTATATATACATGCACATGGAATCAGAAAAGAAATGCAAAGGTATATTTTTATATTTTTTTAAAGATATATTTATAAGTTGATCCGTTATTATGAAAAAATAATGCTGTTTGTATTAAATCAGGAACATCTATTGAAAGTGAAGATACCGGGCCAACCAAGAAATCATCAGACAAAAGCAAGAGAAAACTTACAAAAGAAGATATTGGAAAGCCTACAAATGTAAGACACAAGCAGGTTATAGGCTGGAATCCTGATACTGGATTACATGTAAGTTGATATAGCTCACGTGTTCCGAATATTCTGTATGAGATATAATTAAAGGTTATATGCTGTAGTGTCTATCTCCCGGCAACAATACCCCCACCCTCAACTTGAATCATAACTTCTCTTAAATATGAAAACCTGGTTAAAAAGTCCTTCTTATCAACTTGCTCCTTTGGTTCAATCCATTTGAGCGTTTTGTGTCCCTACTTATAAAAACTAAGTTTTTTTTTTAAATTTGACACTCTCTACCTAGTGATAAGAAGCATACTAGACCATTATGAGGTGATGCTATAATAAATAATGAGGTGCTTTGTTAGTAAATATTCAAAACTGACTTGAATGTAGAATATATTGATAGTAAATCTGACATAATTGATTACTGTAAGCGTGTTGTTCTATGACAAGACTTTCGTTATTTATGTGAGCAAATATTTCAGACCAGAGTTATGACTTATAAAATGTAGAGTACAACAAAGTTACCTATATTTTATAACATCAACCACTATTTCTTAACAATTGAAAATATCTTTTTCCATTTCTCCCAAAATGTATGTACATGCAAAACTAAACATGTATGTTACAGTAATGTTTAGGATCTCGACAATGATTAGAACTATAGAATGTTCTTGTGTATCTCATAATTATCGTATCAACTGTGTAAATTCCGGCTTCACTTCACTTGAATTTCATTTTTATTGACCTATCAAATGATTGCATTGTACATCTTAAAGAGAAAATAAGAATACTTTTGATCCCCCCTCCCGGAAAAAAGGGTTAATTTGATGTTATTGCTCTTTATGCTGTGAAAGAATAGAGAAAAAAGTTTTGCATTCAAACAAATTTCTAGATAATATCTAAAACACTGAGTATTTCATCTGAAGAAAATACTAGTATTTTGTTCTTAAAACGACTGATTTCCGATATTAATATATTCTTGCTTTTTTACAGTTTAATGATTTAGATCCAGATATGAGGTCACTGTTTGAGAAAATTGGCATTACAGATCATGACCACATTGACAACGAAACAATGAAGTTTATTTATGACTTTGTGGAAAATCATGGCGGAACGGAAGCCTTTGCAAAAGAAAATAGAGGTAAGGAAACCTTTTCAGAACGGAAAAACTGGGTAAAGGAAAAGATACATTAGTTCGGGGCCAACATGGATTATCTTTTATTAAAAGAATACTTCCTATGTTTGCAGAGTTTCAGAAAACATTTAAATCCGTCAAATGGCAAAGTAGAATAATTATTGATTTCTATCAAAGTTACTGTAAAAGTAAACTAAAGTTTAGTCATATAAATTGGCTAACACATTAAATGAATTAGAGATCATGTCTTTGAATAAAAAAACACAGCATAGAGATAAAAAGAGAACAACATCACAAATACATATATAAAAGTAGATTGCTTATTTTAAAACTATGTCGGTTAAGTTCGTTGAATTCAAACCCCTGACCGCTGTACTTTCGAATCCCGAGAAGTACTTTGGATTCTTTCACGCGAGGAAGCTAACCAGATAGCTTACGGAACGACGGTGGTTCTACACAGGTGCCCGTTCGTGCCTGAAATAATGCACGGAAGCGCACCTGAGTTCTGACTCCACCAGTAAAGCTGGAAGGTCGCTATATGCCCTATGCTGTGTCGGTGTGACGTAAAACCCAATCAAACAAACAAATAAACAAAACTAGGTTTGTCCTTATATTGTAGTACAGGACTGTCAATAGCTATTCGAAATGCATTTCTCGTGAATGAGATATTCATAATGAGATCGTAACACTGTGGAGGACACATTTTCTAATCATTTTTTTTCAATTTCGCAGTGTTTGTATGTACATATTTCACTGTATTTCACTTTTGTCCTCTTCACACACCCTTTATGAAGGCATATAGATTTCCTTTCAATATTTTCATACGTGTACGGACGAATGTTCGGTTTCCCTTTTACACACAATAATATGATCTTTTTACAGAATGAGAACCTTAGTGGTTTAGATGTGTGTTGATGTACATGTATCCGCAAATATTGTTATAACTATTTGCTAGAATACGTTTCTGGTCTATTTCAGAACAACAGATGAAAAAGCAAGTACCCCCACCACCCAACAGGGCTGGGCCACCCCCGCCACCACCTTCTAGTTACATCAACAGGGCTGGGCAACTACCGCCACCACCTCCAAGTAACATAAACAGGACTGGGCCACCCCCGCCACCACCTCCTAGTAACACAAACAGGGCTGGGCCACCACCGCCACCACCTCCTAGTAACATCAACAGGGCTGGGCCACCTCCGCCACCACCTCCTAGTAACATCAACAGGGCTGGGCCACCTCCGCCACCACCTCCTAGTAAAACAAACAGGACTGGTCCACCCCCGCCACCACCTCCTAGTAACATAAACAGGGCTGGTGCACCCCCGCCACCACTCCCAAGTAAAGCTGTACCTCCCCCTCCACCCAACAGGGCTGGGCAACCCCCGCCTTCAAACCCTAGTAAAGCTGTGTACCCTCCTCCACCCAACAGGGCTGGGTCACTCCCGCCGCCACCCCCTAGTAAAGTTGTACCTCCATCCAACAGTAACAAAGATAAGTTTGGGCTTCCTCCACCGCCCTCTAGAAATACATTTGAGCTTCCCCCGCCACCTCCTAGTAGAGCTGGGCATCGTCTGTCATCCCCTAGTAACACAGATACAGAAGCTGCTGATTCCTTACAAGAAACAAATCAAGGAGCAACAGGTGAAAGTAACCCAATCAAACAACAAATAATGCAGTTACTTCTCCAAAACCCTGCAGAGATTACCGACTTTCTATATAATATTATTGATAAGCGAGGTGGCGTCGAATTTATCAAAGACAGTCTTGCACAACAAATGAACAAGACTCATACGGCACAAGAAAATGGTAATATAACTCATTAATTATTTTAGACCATTCAGACAAATATTGATCCTTTTATCTCTTTCGATAACTGAGTAGTTTTGCTGTCAAATTTCTATATTTGACCGACAATTTGATTTCTTTACTTTGATGCGCAGACCAGATCGGCAAGTGCAACAATAGTTGATAGGTTAACAAATTAGCTAATATATACATATCTTTACTAGTAATGCTTTTTTTGCTATCATACATCTGGCTTTCGCGACAGAGTCAGTTTTATTCGAATATATTAATTTCTTTTTTTCCGTAGATCAACAACCACCTGATTTTACCATGCAAAACGTATCTGATAATATCAATGACGATGTTGAAGCTGCGAGTGAACCATCAAATAAAAGTGAAGTACCAGGTAGGAGAAAGACATCTGAAGATGTGACCAGACGAAGAAATGCTGGGGAAGTTCCTGGTGTAACAAGAAATCTCTCACCAGGTACATGTCTTATTACAATAAAAAAGGCGTAACGTAATGGACATATCACATTTTATTAACCAAGATATACATGAATACATTTTACAAGTCAGATAAAGTAAGGTCTCCTGGCGTTTACAAAAGGGTTAATTACATTTACAGATTATATGTACATCAATGGAAAATGAATTATGTATTGTAAATAAATAATGAAACTATCTCCTATTTGACATGTTATGTATTGAGTAATTGTATAAATAGTTAGTCATTAAACTGTCCGTTTTCTTTCTTTCAAACTAAAACTCAAGCGGTGAACTCAATCCTTGACATTATTGTTGTGTGCATATGTTTGTGGTATTCTTAGTTTCTTCTTTTATTTTGGGTGGTTACGGTATTCCTATTTAAATATTGTATAATCACCATTAGAATATGGTGCCTGCTATTTTAATCTGTCTTTAGACTTCTTCAGGGTTGTATGCAGGCTTCTTAACCTCTGATCCCCTTTCAAAATTCTATTTTGTTTAGTTTCGCCCATCGGTTTCCCGGTTTAAGACTCACGCTTTCTTTTACTTGAGGACCATACGTCGCTTTTCATGGAATTGCACGAAAATGTCACATTAAAGGTTCCGTGATAAACGCCGCATGAAACACATATGTAAAATAATTTCACCATGTTCGTGTTTAAAAGTTTGGCTAAATCAAACAGAGCTTTGCAACATTTTCTATTTTGTCGTTTTGTGTGTTCTTACTCTATTCCAGATTATTGCATTTCATGTAACATACTTTAAGCAATGGTCTGTAAACTATTTGTTTTCTTTATCTAAAACTTAGAATTAAGCATTGAACTCTAGTGTTCTGTTTTTCGTATAATATATTTTAAGCAGTGATCTGTAAAGTGTCCGTTTCATTTATTTCAAACATAAAATCAAGTAATGAACTCTTATTTTCTGTATATTATATCATATACTTTAAGTATTCCTCTGATACATGTACCTGCTTGTTTTGTCTGTATTACAGAATATGAAATTACCAGTGATATGTAATCTGACTGTTTTCTATTTTACAGATTATGAATTAAGCAGTGACACGTTTGATGATGACGATGATGAGTGGAATGATTTAAATGATAAAGTTGACCAAGAGTGAAGATATAGTTGGACAGTGAAATACATGACGTATTTATTGCTAAAATTAATGTATTCATTGTATATAGTGTACTTGATTTACTAGTATCACGTGGCGTCGCTCACTATCTTATGATTATAAACTTTCTTTATTTAAATACTGAATTTCTGTTTTTAGTTTGTAAAATTATTTCATTTTAATCCCACATTGCTCAGTTTTACATGTTTGATTTTATAATGAACAAATTGTCAAATAGTTTGACTTAATGTTGTTTTTCCAGTTGCTTCTTCTACAACTTACGTATATTGTTGAAGTGATAAGTCTAGATAAAGCTTAGATAGCATTGAACAAATTATTTTCGTTGTCATTAACAATAACATCTTGAGTAACGGTATAAGATTGCAGACAAATTAAGTTGTTGTTTTCGACGCATCTTTTATTGAAAGAGATGCTTGGATTACGTGCATTTTAATATTGTATTGCAAAACATATTCTATATGAAATAGGTAATTTATTATAGGACTACAACAGGAACCTCGATGTGTAGTTTCTTTTATCTTGTATTTTATGTAAACCGACAACATGTATTTAATTTCCAAAGATAAATACCATGTATAAATATGTTCTAAATATTTACGTTAACATCTTTTCAATCCATTAAGTTTAGATTCAGTCGACTTATTTGGAACAATCAAAAACTGAATGCAAGAAATGCCGGTATAATAATTTTTTTCAGCAAGTGTTACATCACAAATAAGAACATGTCTTATTAATATTTTACCTCAGAATTACAAATACACGATCGCCCCTCACCGCTTCAGGTTCAAATCCCGTCAGGGACTTTGGATTCTTTCATATGGGAAGCTATCCAGCTAGCTTACGGAACGTCGGTTGCTCTTTTCATGTGCCATAATGTGCCTGAAAAAATGCATGGGAGGGCACCAGAGGTCTTCCTCAACCAGTATAAAATCTTAATCTTAAACTGATATCACAAAGTTCATATTTTTATCTGAAAAAGTGCACGTGTAAAAACAGTACTGTTTGTGATTATAAGGGAAAACAATTGTTACTAAAGAAGTCACTGGATGATATACAAAATCTGTGGTTTCCTTGAAAGTCAATGAATGCTATGCAATTTATTAGTAGATTCAATAATTGCTATGAAAAATTTGTTTGCTATGGAAGTAACTGTTTTTATGGGAAGCAAAAGATTGCTATTGGAGCCATCACTTTAGTTGCTATGGAAAGTCAATGGTACTTCTGGAAAGAGAATGTTTGCTTTGGTAAGTTAATTTTGCTATAGAAATATAAAGTTTGTTATGAAATGTCAATGGCTGCTATGAAGTCAGTGGCTGCTATGGGAGTCAGTGGTTATATAGGAAAGCAAACGGTTGCTATGGAAGGTCAGTGGTTGCTATAGAAAATCAATGGTTGTTTTATGAAGTCACTAGATGCTATGGAAGTCAATGGTTGCTGTAGAAGTCACCGATAGGAATAGAAGTCACTGTTGTTTCTTAATATGAAGTCAATCCATTGAATGATTACAAAGTTATAACCAGTTACAGCAAAAACAATCAATTATTTGACCTTCAAGTCATTATGAGTTAAGGTCAAAGTTTTTCTAATTATCTTGTACGTCTATCCTATAAGATTTTTGTGTTAAAGAATGAAGACAGTCCATTCCAAAATAACAAAAATGCAGGCAATAATAGCAAAAATCAAGATTAATTTAGACAGGTGACCTTGTAGGTCAAGGTCATTTAGGAATGAAGGTAAAGATTAGTTTGGTCTACTTTTGTCATCATACTTGTCCTAAGGGTTGTTATGGCCAAGCATGAAGACAATAAACTAAGAACTAATAAAGTTATGATAAACGTTAAAGTTTTTGGAGACGGCAACGGCAACTTAATCGGTACATCTATGTTTTCTTAACTCATTCTGCTCACCGGCTAAGATTTAATTTTACTCAGAAGGTGTATAAAGTTTAAAGTTCAATGTTGCAGTATATATGTAATTTGTATAAAGAATAAGATAAGGCAATAGTGGATTTCGATTTCAAGTACATGATTTATGAAAAGGGTTTATTAATTCTTCCCCACTCTGATGGTATAACTCCTTATAGAATATGCAAGAAGAAAATGCAATTATTATTTTATTACTAAAGTCTTATATCCACAAGAATGGTATTTACACCACATTGTTTGCTAGTTTATATTTATCAGTAGCTTATTGGGTCTGTTATATAGAACTGTGCTTATTCAAAGGTCAACTTATCTCTATCTTGTTCTTGTGAAGTGTTTCTATTTTTCAGCGTTATCTACATGAATTTTATGAATCTGTTTAGAAAAGATACTACTATAAGGACTCCCACGGCTTAAGAACAAAATTAATATCATAAGAAATGAAGCCATCAATGCAAACAACTTCTAAAGAGATGGGTTTCAACTTGGTTTTAGCAATGCCAACTTTAATCATGGTTTTGGTCTGAATTATTTGTTTATTTCTCTTGAACCTCTTGATCTAAGGTTTTACGAGCATTTATTAAAATCTGGCGAAAGAGTATCCCTTTAAAGCATTAACCACATCAATTTTACATGAAAATTGCACACTCGGTTAGACTGAGTCCGTACATGAGGAATAATGAAAAAAGTGTACATCCCCACGTCTCTAGCAATGGTTTGAGTGGTACTCGATTTTCAGCACTAAAATGTGCTGGATCAAACGACCAGAAAAATATAACACCACTTAGTGAAGTACGGGGCAACATTTTACATTAACCACACGGCACTTAACACCCTAAGATTCCCCTGGGGTGCCCTCTTCTTAGCATTGCAACAAATGATTTTTAGCATAACTCTAATAATCTAATAAATTAGCGAGAGTATCGATCCACCAATATTTCCGACCCTTCTTTTTATTCATAGTTCCATACTTTACTCTTTTGTGATCCAAGTTATTATGCAAAGAATCTTTTATAACATTATTCATTTCTCTTCGTGAACTTTCTTTATCTGTTTGCTGTATAAGACCTTTTTCAAGATCGAAACATTATCACATAGCAACTTAACAATGTCATCTAACATTAAAGGAGCACTAGGTAAATTAATAAGATCAATATTTCACAGTGAAGAGTAATACAATCTACAAAAGGGGAGATCCCACCCCACGAGAGAAGAACACAAAGAAGTACTAGATCTGAAAGAGTTCTTATCATTATCAGTATATTCACAATTGTCAGAATAACCAGAAGCATTAAAACGCCATTATAGTATAGAATGAACTGGAATATAATTTGGAACAAAACTTTTGGAATATCTCTTTTAAAAAAGATCAGTATTTCTCATTACAAAAAAAAATCAAATGCATGTGCTTAAATTTCTGCTATACTGTAATCAATAACGACAAACCCCTTAACTGTAACTGATTTACATGTTTTCTTCAGTTTAGAATTCATGTATTGCTATCGATAACAAATTTAAGTACATTTCTTTTTTTCAGATTACATGTAAATCAACAACCTCTCCATCAAACATGTGATTTATAACAAGAATCAAATCATTATTTCTCATCATCAATTCTGTCATATTCCAAAACTTACAATTAGACACTCATAGAATTGGCTCGTATCAGGCTGTTAAGACGAATTACATGGTGGCAAATAACATACATAAGTGTAAAACTTATATTGTGTCACCAAACACTAGCCATACAATATATTGCAGTATTAAGAGATTTCATAAGTAAAAGTCTTATAGATAAATTATTATTATCATTTTCTTTATTTCCTCCATAACTGAAGAGCATTTACATAATAAATATTACAGTTAGTACAAAGGATTATATATACAGCAAATATAAATACAAGATTTTTATGTATAATATAAATTAGTAAAGAAAAGGCATAATTATAACATGTACAAACATTTAAATATTTACTCATACTAAAAGATAACTAATGCAATTAATCTGTGATATCTATAAACAAATGTCAATTGAGTGAAAATATTGTATATATAAAAAAAAAGAAAAATAAAAGGAATAAGCTACTTACTTGCATAGATATCAGGTTCATATGTAGATATCAAAAGCATCAGAACTGAGGTTGTTTAGTGTGTGAAGGCAGAGGTAAAATTCAAATCAATTAAGTAATTTTAAGTTACAATAATTTCAATTTTGAGGAGAGACGATGAATAATTTTGGGAAAAATAAATTTTAATATATATAAATGATTGCCAAAAACACATCGAGTAATTAGCCTTAACCGAAACGAAATTATGAAGACGATTAAGATGTGTTTAAGCTAGGCCAGTTGTTGTTGTTTTGTATATGAATAAGGGCACTAACGCAAACTATCAATTATTGACTATTGTCTATGATTTAGATTAAGCAATAGTGGAAAAAGGGGAATTCTTAATATAAACAACACTTGCATGTGAACCTTAAACCGAAAACGTAACATTAAGGTGTGTAAGTTGTGTTGTGAACAAAGAGTAATGATATCACAAAAATGTACATTAATAATAGGAAAATTCATAAAACAAACATAAATAATTGAAAATATATAACATTCAGTATTAAATATTTATGTACACATTCATAATGCAATGAAGTTATTCTCCATATGCTAATATCACAGTTTATACATTGTTCGGGTAGCCATGGGCTAGGAACACCTTAAAACATGATACTCTCAGGCTATCGTTCATGTCAAAAGAATCAAAACCACTAAACATTTCTAAAAGTTGTGATTCTGGTGAAAGGGAACAAAACATTTCGAATTGTTGCATGCCTAACATATGTGACAGGTTAGACCATAATGTAGATCTGATACTCTCCATTTTCTCACAGAAGAAAACAAGATGTAACACAATATAGTCAGTGGGTAATTCACATTTATTACACGTTACTTCATAGCTTCTTGATAAAAATTTAGAAAGAAGTCTGAATGCATAAACACATTGAATCTGATATGTTTTATACTGGCGACTGAATCTCCATAACATACAAGGTTCATACTTTGAGTGCAAGTGGGAGAAACTAGATAGACTGGCATCGCATAATATTCTATTGCGCCATTCGAATTCAACAGTTTTGTGAATGGCTGATTTGATCGTGTTTTTCCATGCGTATGAGGATTGTATAGTTCCAGTGTTCATGTAAATTCGTAATAACGAAGTTTGTCCATACCGACCTAATATTTTGTATAAATCTGGAATAAATCCAGACACTTTTCTCGGTTCCAGCATGTACGATGTAAGTCTATAAGTAGATATGTTACGCTTAAAATTCTACACACAATATGAATATCGTATATAGTGTCATTTAAAAAACTGACAGTGTTTTAAGAAAGACCAACTTTACAAGACCTTTAATAAGAATCGCAGTTTCCAATGCAAAGTCAATTCATTCTTTTTTGTTTCAAATAGACATATTCATAAGAATTTTATACATTGCAATAAATTTCGAAATCAAAATATTTTAACCAAGGATGAGCATAGTGCATCTTAAAGCTAACCATTAAACAATACTCGATTCATTATCGAATAATTCATTTTTTCCGTTATAAAACACTTCATATCCAAGCATTTTTATTGTTTAGAAATTTACATTTAAATACCCTAGATTTCTTGAACATTTTCAGTTGATGTGCTATTTAATTTTCCTTCCTTCCTTCCTTCTTTTTTCTTTCTTTCTTTCTTTTTTTCTTTCTTTCTTTCTTTCTTTCTTTCTTTCTTTCTTTCTTGAACAAAGAATTGACCGACCTACGTGTTGCAATAAAATCAATGGGAAGTAAGTTGATATATTTTCTCTTCCATTGTAAGACTTTCTCTTTTTGTAGACAAGACTTTTGTTATGAAAACAAAACGTTAGTGATAACTTTGAAAAATTGCCCCGGATTAGCAATACAAGATCCTATATCTAACTTCGCAAAATTCATAAGTTTAAACATCAAATCGAAGAACAAAGGATTTTTGTACATTTCTAAAGCCACGTCATATAATAATGATGGCTGAAACATATTTTCCAGTGACAGTTTATTCAAAATGTTTATATGCATTTTCATATGTACTATCTCGAATGCATCTCGCATTTCAGATAATTGTTTAGAATCTCTGAAAGAAAATATTTGAGTTTTAACTTTCTCTATCTCCATTACGAAAAAGCCATCTGTATCTAATAGATTTGATATGATACACTTAAGTTGTGAAAAGTCACGTGGTTTTCCTTTCCCAAGGAGTAGATTCCTCTCTTGTATCATATAGTTAGGTAGAAATTTAGAATGTAAACAGTTTCGTAGAAAAGCCAGCGCGAGTTGTAGAAGGTTTATCAATCTTTCAGGAGAATTACACGAACTTGGCTCACTATGTTCTGACACCCAGAACATAACATTCTTAATCATGTAGGAACTTAAAATATTACAATTTGGTTTGATCAAATACTTGTTAACCATTTTAAATATAATATAAACTTTTAATAGCACCGGATTGAGATTAGACACCAGAATACTTTCGGCAGTTGTGAAAGAAATTCTCCATTCGTAAATCTGATTTTCGCTGTAACTAGCGCCTACTGGTACAACGTACGCCTCTGTATCCATGATGTCCTGACAAACAGATTGTGGTGGCCAATATCTGTCACGTTTAATCCAAGGATCAAATAATGCAGATGGTATATAGGGCAATCCCATCACAAAGTCAGCATCGCATGCCATAATTATATGCGGCATCAAAGGTATTTTAAGATGTAAAGTCGAAGGAATTGACGGTCCTTGTTGTTCCCGAAGTTCTCTGTTTGTGCCATGAAGCTGAAAATATGGAATTAATGCTTTACAACCGCTTTCAAAGAAATTACGAACACACGTGCTTACAAGAAACACCTGACCTCTACTTAAGTCATATTCAGTGACGAAACATAACAAACCCATTGCAGCTGTATTAGAATCAAGTTCTAAAGGATTAAGTCTTGTATGACCCGGTGGAGAATCCGCTGTGATCGTTTGAATTATACAAAGTTCACTTTCTACCTGAGCATTGTCCAAACAAAGGAAATTGCGAAATACTTGAATAACATCAATGTCACTTTCATGAAGTTTTGCAATGCCGTCTCCTACACTCCCGGCGACCATACAGTTGAACCCAATATATGGAATTAAATTTTGTAACTTGTTATTTACTGTTGAAGTTAAATGCTTTACTATCTCAGCTCTCCATTTGATCATTTCCTCAGAGTAACCAAGAAAATCCATAGCAGTGTGTGTGGCGACAGATAATTCTTTAACAGCCTGTGTTGACATGTTGTCTGCAAATATAAATTTTAAATCTCTTTCTTTATAATTATTTTGAAAGAAATATATAATAGTGTAACCATTTATGATTCGGTATGTACAAAAATCGTGAATACCTTATTTCTTATTGAATGTACATGGAGATATTATTATGAACAGTGTTGAAGACATCAAAACCCAAAAATGCCTGTCGTCGTATCATTGTTGCTAAGCATATCAAAATAGAAAAAAAAAAACAGAATGGAAATTTCTACAGCTATACAAATAATGTATGTTTTCATAACTTCTATATCTAGAGTAAAACAATACTATAATTTCTTATACACGTGAAATAACCGTCTTAAAGTCAATTTTGCGACATTTTAATATTTACTTTACATGATAAGTTTCGTTTACGGAAGTAAATTTACACCATTCTTTTAATATCTCTAATCAGTGGAAGCCACTAATTGAAATATATACAAACATTTCACCTATTAAGTTATTTAAGATAAAAAAACCTTTGCAAGTTTATATTCAACATGGTTTATGATTATACATTATATTGAACTTCATATTTGGTTTGTATTCAAATAGTTAATAGTATATTCACGAATCGTGCAATAAACATATGTATATTGTAAATTGGTATATTACCATTCCTATTTGGCACTTAATAATATGCTAGTGACATACAATTATGAGATGTAACTGATGTCAATTTCATTATTTCATTACATAAAATTCGTTGATTATCTCTTTTTTTCATCGTTGTTTATCATCATTTACTATTAGATGACATATAATGTTTTAGAAAGAATATGAAATGAACAATTAAAATGAAACTTGCAAAAACCCCTTTATGAAATTATAGAGAACTGAAACAAGTGTATTCATTATTTAATTAACCAAGCTATACCTAATTGAAACATACCGAAAATGCAACCATACTTTTTCATATAATTAATTAGTTATATTATTGCGACAGAAAAAGAGATCGTTCCAAACCGATTATATATTCATCCCTTCGAAATAACCTCCTCCTACAGAAATATAAAGTGACTGATTTGAACCATCTCGTATTTTTGTTCTGCGGGGCGCCGGTCGAAAACACGATAAACTCAACATTTGTCTAACTTTCGCTCCGCGGGGCGCAAGTCGTGTTTTCGCGTTTTCGTGACCAGCGGATGGAAAATACGAAAACACGAACATTTTGTATTTGTGTCTTTGCCGAATTTTTTAGTTTTCGCCTGGCGCCCGCAATAGAAATGCAAATTCTAGACGTTTAATGGTTCAACAAAGCTACTTTAGTCAAACTAACTGAAAATTCGAAGATGAAACGACCATGGTGAAAACTCGATACAATTTCGTGTTTCCAACACCGTCCTTTCGACTCTTCACTACCATGGTTTCGTTGTTACGTTATTTCCCGTTTTTAATAACCATATTTTCAACTTTTCATCATTGTATGTTCGACTTAACGGGACGCTGTATAATATTGAAATATTGTAAATATGAATAAAATTCTCAGGTGCGCAACCTGAATGCAATATCAAAGATCTTTGAGTTTAGTGGGTTGTTTTTTTTTTTTATCTATTTACCATAAAATGGCTGAGATATCAAAACTTTTTTAATTGTAAAGTATACAAGTGTTTGAAAAAGAATGTGAAATAATATCTTTTTATTTTAATAGGGATTAAAACAGCAAAGTATGCAAACAGGGATCGAACCCTCTCGGTATATTTTGTGCATTTGATAAATTTACCTCAATATAAAACATAGAGCATTATAATGTGTTCTGATTAAGTCCCCCATTCAGGGCCAGGAAATATTTCTTATATCATCCCGGGACACATAACACTGATATAAATGTGCTGTGTGTAAAGATAAGTCGCACATGATGGTCAGGGTGATAGTGGATATTATCAACCAAATACATTGTTTGAGGCCATAATGGGTAACTCCATTTATATAAACATAAACATTCCTGTGGAACACAAATTTTGAACATTGTTTACATAAATGGCATGGTTATTTCCCTTGTATGTGTCATACTGGATGGCATAATCGTTTTCGATACAAGGCAATTTGTTACACACTAATATTTGTATGTGTGTCTAAATCTATCATATTTATATCTGACATAACTTCAATGAACTGTCAAGCTTTGGAATATTAGTTGTATCAATAATGGCCAATTGATTTGATATAATCACAACAAAAATAATAATTGTAAAATATGCCTCTTATACAATTTGTATTCCAAGTTGTCACACGGCGTATAAAAGTAATGAACCGTTTTGTTTTGACAACAGCTATATAACGACGGTATTGACAAGTTTGCTTCTTTAAAAAGAAGCATGCGAGAGGTCTTTTTGCTGCTGTCGAAAATTTGTTTAATTCGAAAATATTTGGGGATATTTTTGCATAACAGACACAATGAATGTTTATAAATTACAATTATTAAACAAAATAGAATTTATTATATATATTGCAATGAAAGTTTGTTTTACATTTCATCTTTTTTAATGTTTTAAAAGATTATATGCCGGAGAAATGGACTTTTTTCTTGGCGCATTAGGGATACTTTTTCTACAAAAAAATTTGTAAAATTACTTAATGTAAATTAAATGATATATATCATTTACATTTGTATTTTAAATTCAGTTCCCTTTGTAGAAAAATTATATATATATTAAAAGTATTTTCAAAATAAAAGTTTCTTGTAAAGTTCAATAAGCAAATTTTCGGTCACTGTTTTGTTAAATATAAGGAAGCATTTCCTCTACATTTTCCAAAACGAGTATAAAGTATGTTAATCAAACAAGTTTACATAAAAAATGTTGATATCATTTGATTGGAATAAACAGTAAATACTGTTATATACTGTTATACTGTTATATACTGTTTATTGGAATAAACAGTATATAAAGCTGCATGCCTCCAACCACAATATTAGAAGAAAATCCAACTTGAGATACAATTTGTGCCATTTGCACCAAAAAATCTCCTTTTGCGTTATTTAGATATACCGGACCAATACACGGTTCACTCGGTCATATAATATGTTTGTTTGCTTCATTGTACGCCTTTTCCCAACAGTATTTTAGTCAAATAGGCGGGTGGTTTCCTAACCATCGTTCCTGGAGAGTTACACCAGTACTAGACAACCTTCCTCTGATGACCTCTCCAATAACAAATGTCGTCATGATCCACGTGATACCATAATATTTTCTTCCGCATTATTTACCGCTTGACTTAAGTTATAAACGAATGTAAAACGAAACATAAAATACAAATATTATCATAAAAATAGCTCTTTCTCATAACCTACCGAAGAAGCATGGTGTCATTTGTAATTCATTAGCATAAAATATATAGTTGGCAAAAATTAGTTAATCGAACATTTTTACATGCTACTTAATGAAGTAAAATCGAAACTACAAAGAGTCTTTTTTTCTTTAAATTTCTGTCTTAATTAGACGGTCAAGAAAGCGAAAAGACAATTTTTGTGACACGTGCAATCATGGTATGCATTGATTTGTATATGCTCCAAGACATGATATAGCCACTGTGACAATATATTACATGACTGTATAATGAGTTCGCCTTTTTGCATATTATCAAACTAAATGGCTGGCGAACATCTACATGTGCAGTGTAATGTTAGTAAACAAAATCGTATTTATGTTTCTACGTTGCTTCTGTAAATAAAAAAGAACAAGATTATTTGCAACCAGTTTACTTTTTCAAAAGTCATAATTATGTACCAGCACGTATTAAAGCAATGACACATGCTGATTTTGGGCTTTATCTATTGCGTAATTTGTGTCAGAAAGTGCATAGAAATTTTAATATTTGTAATATTTTGAAAAAGTAATCAAGTGTTAAATGAAGCATCTGATAATGTCCTTTTCGAAAAATAGGTAAGAACACTTCAATTTTTACGCTCAAATTTTATATTTGAAGATACTTTTAATTACTATACAGTTTCTTTTAAAATATATAAATTAAATATAAATATAAATTAAACATCTTTGGAGTGCACATAGAGAAGATACATTACCTTATAATCTTATTTACTACAGGAAAACACACAGTATGGATACAGAATGTCATAAAAAAACTGGCAGAGTTTCTTTAAGAAAGGACCACATTATCTTGACTGATCAGAGCGAATGAAGCTTTCTAAAAATCGTCTGTTCATTTTCTTATTCAAATTATACAAATTATACATATACAGTAAGAACGTCCTAGAGTTCAAAACATTTCTGCCATAACAGCATTTACCCAAAGATAAGCAATATACATGCATATCTTTATTCATAATGTGTAAATGACGCGGATTCCAAAAGTTTATGTCGGGGAAGCAGAAATTGTAAGAAAATAAAACATAAAAAACACACCAAAACATGATATCTTGAAGTTAAATAGTGAATTCTCGAAGCTAAAATCGTGAATTCGTAAAGTTAAATCGTGAATTCGTGTACATAAAGAAAGGTTCTTACAAATATATTTCTTATAAAGTTTTGAATAATGTTTCAAAAGAAAATATATATGTATCATTTTAAATTTTATTTATAATGTTTATAAAAAATGTCGATAAAAGTACCAAATTCTGTTTTTAGAATGTGGAAGGAAACCAATATGTGTATATATAATTTCAATCAACTTTTAACCCCTATTTTCTACATATAAAATCTTTGAGCAAAGTATCAACAGTCTACATTTCGTTGGATAATTATTATAATTGAACATTATTATTAGAACCCGTCAAATGAGTATTATATTCCGTAAGGTATCTATAACTATTCCTAACATTACACTAAAGCCCAGTTACATTTCATTATAGAAAGTAAAAGGTAAACATTTTCTAATTATTTCTATTAGGGAGATCATTTTCTTTACCTTAAGGAAATGAGCTGCTATGATGGTCTTGTTCTTCATTAATAAGTTTAACATACATTTATTGTGTATCGTAAGCCGGTGAAAGATTCCTAGTATCAGTCTACATATTAATTAAGCAATAAGGTTT